CAGGCACGCACCACCATGCCCGGCTAATTTTTTTGATTTATTGTATAGATGGGTCTCGCCAAGTTGTCCAGGCTGGTCTTGAACCTGTGGGCTCAGAAAATCCTCTAATCTCAACCTCCCAACATGCTGGGATCATAGGTGTGAGCCACTGTGCCTGGACAATATTTTGATTCATTATAGAGACAAGGTCTCACCATGTTGCTCAGCCTGGTCTGGAACCCCTGAGCTCAGGAATTCCTCTCGCCTCTGCCTCCCAAAGTGCTGGGATTACAGAGGTAAGCCATGGCACTCAGCTTAAATCTTATTTTCCACAACTCAGCCTCCCAAAGCGTTGGGATTTCAGGCATTAACCACTGTGCCCAGCCCTTTGACCACTTTTTTTTTTTTTGAGTTGGCGTTTCACTCTCACCCAGGCTGGAGTGCAGTAGCACGCTCATGGCTACTGCAGCCTCAATCTGCTGGGCTCACATGATCCTTTCGCCTCAACTTTCCAAGTAGTTGGAACTACAGGCAGGCATGTACCATCACATCCATCTAATTTTTTGATTTATTGTACACATGAGGTCTCACCAAGTTGCCCAGGCTGTTCTCCAACCCATGGAGTCAGGTAATCCTCTCACCTCGGCCTCCCAAAGTGCTGGGATTATAGGGGTGAGCCACTGTGTCCAGCCAACATTGAAGTTTTAAAGTGCTATGAATACCTAAGTTCTTAATATCCTGGTTTGTGATCTGGCATAGGAAAAAAAAAATACTCAGCTATGTTTAAAGCCAAACTGTTGGCTCTCTGTTCTATATATATATATATATATATATATTTTTGAGTCGGAGTCCCGCTCCATCGCCCAGACTGGAGTGCAGTAGCATGCTCCCGGCCACCACAGCCTCGACCTGCTGGGCTCCGGCGATTCTTCCGCCTAAGCCTTCCAAGTAGCTGGAACTACAGGCGCGCGCTACCATGCCTGGCTAATTTTTTTATTTATTTATTGTAGAGATGAGGTCTCAATAAGTTGCCCAGGCGGGTCTCGAACCTGCGGGCTCAGGCAATCCACTCGCCTCGGCCTCCAAAAGTGCTGGGATTACAGACTGAGCCACCGAGTCCGGCTCTGTTCAATATTGAAAACATAACTTTCAGCAATATAATCCTCATACACAGTTCATTTATTATAAGGTAGATCTGGTTTTTCTATTCATCTAATTATGTCACTTGAATCATAAGGTAAAACAGTGACTTTAAGTGCTGGACTTTAAGTCAGCAGACAGGGTCTAGTCCTAGTTTTTTCAATAATTTGCTGTGTGACGTTGGCAAGTCACTTAACCTTGGTTTTCTCCCTGGGTTTACAATGATCAATATAGAATCATAGTACATTAGAATAGGCAGGTGCCTTAGAAATTACACAGTACAATTCATTTTATGGAGAAGCTGAGTGACTTACCCAGTCACTACATAGCCAGGAGTTTTTCTAGAATAAGCACTCAGTCTTCAGCATCATGGACCAGCACTCTTTTCATTACATCTGGGTTTCTTTCAGTACCATTCCCAAATAAACAAACAAAAAAGTGAAAGCACTGGCCAGCACAATGGCTCACTCCTGTAATCCCAGCACTTTGGAAGGCAGTTGCCTGAGCCCATGGTTCGATTGAGACCAACTAGGGCAACATGCTGAGGCCTTATCTCTACAATAAATAAAAAAATTAGTCAGGCATGGTGGTCCAGGCATGTGGTTCCAGCTACTTAGAAGGCTGAGGCAGAAGTATCACCTGAGCCCAGCAGACTGAGGCTGCGGTGGGCGTGAGTGTGCCACTGCACTCCAGCCTGGGCAACAGAGTGAGATTATGACTCAAAAAAAAAAAAAAAAAAAAGTGAAATCACTAAACGGGTTAACTTAGTTTGTGTCTGGTGACAACCTAGTTCTGATGACTACTGAGCTTGAGTTTGGTGACGTGGAGTGTTAGCATGGACAACTCCATGTTTATTTATTAAGTTGTCACCATACTCCAATTAAGCTGTCACCAGACTCAAGCTGTCATCACACCCAAGCCAAGTTGCTCACCAGACCCAAGCTAAATTGCCATCTGATCTTCCGAGAAACCAGAGTTAACAGCCAGTTCTAGTCCTGCATGATAACGAAGCGTCTTCTGCTTTAATCCCTACACAAAAGCAGCAGACCGATGTCACCTGTCAGTCGTTTTCCTTTCCCGCCTTGCAAAGAAAGTGGCTTCCCCATCACCTGGGCCCTTGGTCTCTGGCTGCTCTCCTACGAAGCCGAGTCACCCGCGCCCGCCCAGCGCACTCTCGGGATGACAGGTCGCCGATCCCGGCACAGCTTTTGACGCCCCTCGGGGGGCCCCACCCGGACCGAGGAACAGGAAACGCCCGAGGGCACCTGGCACTCCCCTGGCTTGTGGGCTCTTTTGTCTTTCCCGGGTGGAACTGGGGACGCTCTGAAGAAATGGTGTGCAAGAGGGTTACTTGAGTCCAACCTGTCTGCGTTGCCATTTCTCACTTGCTCTAAACGTCATCACCGCAGTTTCTCCCTCAGCGCCACCCCAGCCTCTAACACCCACAAGAACGCGAGGAAATCTGAAGAGAGCGCACACAGCGCAGAGGCAGAGACCTCCACTCCAACGCCTTCCGCGGCGGGTCTCGCCGTTTCCGCCGGGTCAGCCCGGTCGCTGCCGGGAGTTGTAGTCACTTGGCGCCCTCACTTCCGGGACTCGGGGCGGGGCCGCGCCGCGGAGAACTGCATCTCCCATCAGGCCGTGTGCGCACTCCCGCGCTTGTCAGCCCCACCCTCCCGCGCGTCCTCCGGGCCGCGGCGCTCACGCCTTCCTGTTCGTCGAAGCTGGGAGAAGTTCACTCCGATCAGCTGATCCCACTGACAACAAGAGCGGAGGAAGCCCGGCTGGCGACTCCGAGGAGAGGGCGAAGACGGAGATGGGGACTGACCTGCGGGCGCCCTGAGGAGCCGCCCCCGTCCCCCAGAGCCCCGTGGTCCCCTCGTCGCCCCTCCGAGCTCTCGCGGTGGGAACCTGGGCCCGGGGGGAGGGAGGGCAGGGCAGGGCGTCCTCCGGCCCCGAGCTCTGCCGGCGTGGGGGGGATCGGGGCCTCCTTTGTTCTCAGGTCGGCTTCTGCCCCCAGGGCCGCGGTGGGTCAGGAGTCGCGGAGGGTTCGGGAGGGAAGGGCGCGGAAGGAAGGGCGGGGGAGGGGAGGGGGTCTGGGCTGGCGCGTCGCTTGCCTGGCCTGGGAAGGGGTGTTCTACTAAAGTGGATTTTCTGTTTTCCTCAACTGTCACAAGTTTTGATTTTTGTCTCCTTTCGGGAGCCGATTGGTCACGTCTGAGGTTCGGGTGTAAATAAGGCCCCCAGCCTCTCCCTTCGCCTTCCTTGTTTATCTACAAACGAGACTGATAGGTCGATTAGCGTGGGGAGCAGTGCCTGGAAGGCCGCGTTTTGCACTTGTCGGGGCGTTGGGATGGGGGCCAAGGCTCGGGCATTAGGAATTTGATTACTGTCATTGTGGAAGTCACGGAAGCCTTTTCCAACCCCAGTTATCTTTTTTCCTTTTTATGTTAGTTTTTTTGTTTTTTCTTTTTGAGTCGGGGTCTCACTCTGTCAACCGGGCTGGAGTGCAGTGGGATCATCGCTGCTCACCACAGTCTCTGTCTCCCTCTGGGCTCAGGCGATCTTTTCACCTCAGCTTCTGGAGTAGCTGGGATTACAGGCGCGCATCACCATGCCCGGCTAATTTTTAAATATTTTCTGGAGACCAGGTCTTGTTATGTTACCTAGGCTGGCTTCACACTCCTGGGCTCAAGCAATCCTCCTGCCTCCGCCCCTCAAAGTGCTGGGATTACAGGTATAAGCCACCCTGCCCAATCATTAAGTTAGTTTTTGAGTGACACAGAGAAAAATGATTTGTTTTGACTCACTGCAGGCCTGGCTTGCCTGGGCCATGGTTGAGGAATTCTGCCTCCTGTTGCTCCCTTTTTTTTTGCAGTTCGTGAAAGAAGGGACAAAGGAAGTTTTTTTTTTTTTTTTTAATGTTTTAACCATGAAATTGTGACTGTTATTTTTCTTTGATAGGCAGTTGTTGAGTTGAAACCATCCAGTTAGAAGGGCAATCAGATCTGCCCAGATCTTTAATGGATCTAAAATTTATCATTATATTTTTGTTAGCTTTTTGCAGGTCTCTGTCTCCAGCTCTCCCAATTGTGGGTGCATATTGGGGTGCAGAGGGCCGTCCTTCCAAGGACTATTTGATTAGTGATTTCAATTCTGAATCTAAAAACTGAATGAACAGAGAATTTCGGTCTGGGAAGTAGAGCAGCAAAGTCTCTTGGTCCTTGGGCCAAAGAGGTGATGTTTGTTGTCAGAAGGAGGAACCTGAGTCATGATTTTGGGGAAGTTTCTAGTTATCAGAGCAAGCCAGTTTAATTTTTACCAGCAAGAATGAAATTTCTCTCAATGGTTTTGGCCTAGTATTTAATCACAGCTTTTTTTTAAAGGTGCACTTCTGTTTTTTAGATGAGTGAAATCCTTTTCCTTCCTCTATTCTAGGTATCCCCTGAAATACTGACTTAAGGTTGAATTATATTAACAAGCTGCTGACCACTTTCTTTCATTATCAGAACTTTGTGGCTGCAGCACAACTGATGAGCCCACAGTGTGAACCCATCATATCTTTCTAAGATAGCCATAAAGACCCTTTCAAGTTAATTTGGACCACATATTTGCCTGCACTTTATGGAGGATGAAACCATCAAGCCAAATCAACATTGCTGCTGATTCAGGAGTCTTGGAGGCATAAAATTAAAAATTTGAGCATTTGTGAGTGTGTGAAGAACTACAATAGGACGTCAAAGGTGTCTAAGGGGTCAGAATTCTGTGGAAGTTCAGTGTGGTCTTCAGAACAAAACCTTCCGCCCTCCTGGTGCAAGCCTAGTGCTTGTGTGTGGGGTCTGCAGATCAGAGCCTTGTCTGCTGTCCTGGGCAAGCCCAGTGCTGGTGCGTGGGGGCCTTTCCTCAGCAGCGTGAGCATGAGCGTCCCGACTTCCCCAGCAGAGAAGGGCCTGAATCCGGGGCTTATGTGCCAGGAGAGCTACGCCTGCAGTGGGACCGAGGAGGCCGTGTTCGAGTGTGACGAGTGCTGCAGCCTGCAGTGTGTGCGCTGTGAGGAGGAGCTCCATCGTCAGGAGCGCCTGCGTGACCACGAGCGTATCCGCCTCAGGCCTGGCCACGTGCCCTACTGTGACCCCTGCAAGGGGCCTGGCGGCCCTTCGCCAGGTGCCAGGCAGAGGGCGGTGGTGAGGTGCCAGGCCTGCAAAATCAACTTGTGCCTGGAGTGCCAGAAGAGGACTCATTCAGGGGGTAGTAAAAGGAGACACCCTGTGACTGTGTACCACGTTAGTAACGTCCAGGAGCCGCCAGAGGCAGAAGAGATGGATGAGGAGGCCAGGAGGAGGAAGATGACCGAGAAGGTTGTGAGTTTCCTCCTAGTAGATGAAAATGAGGAAGTTCAGGTGAGGCATTGGGGACAGTGGGGTTCATGTGGGAGTGGAGCTTGTCTGTTGTTGGAAGGTAGCTCTCAAAAGAGCAGGTCCAAGAGGAGATCACATTTTAATCATTAAAAGGCAAGGCATCTGAAGGCTTAAGTTACATGGAATCGGATTTAGTTACTTAGCAGTTGTGTGACCTCTCAGAGCCTTAGTTTTCTTATCTATAAAATGGGGACTGTGGAATGAGACTGTTTGTAAAGCCTGGTGCTCAATAAATAGTCAGTACATGTTAGCTGTTGTTGGTGGTAGTATTCGGAGGAACTGATTTTTTTTTTTTTTTTTTTGAGTAGGAGTCTCACTCTGTCGCCCAGACTGGAGTGCAGTGGCCGCTCCCAGCCACCGCAGCCTTGACCTGCTGGGGCTCCAGCGATCCTTCCGCCTCAGCCTTCCAAGTAACTGGAACTACAGGCGTCTGCTACCATGCCCAGCTAATTTTTTTGATTTATTGTAGAGATGGGGTCTCGAACCTGTGGGCTCAGGCAATCCACTCACCTCTGCCTCCCGAGGTGCGGGATTACAGGCTGAGCCACCAAGCCCAGCTGGTTTTTTTTTTTTTTTGAAAGCAGGATTTATTGAGAGAACAGAAAAACTCCCACAGTGGGAGGGGACCTGAGGGGTTTGCCCGGGGAACTGATTTAAAACAGATTTCTGAGCCAGGTTTGGTGGCTCAGCCTGTAATCCCAGCGCTTTGGGAAGCTGAGGTGATTGGATTGCCTGAGCCCGCGGGTTCTAGGCCCGCCTGGGCAACTTGGCAAGACCTCCTCTCTACAATAAGTCAAAAATTAGCCGGGGGTGGCAGCGCACATCTGTAGTTCCAGCTACTTGGAAGGCTGAGGTTGAAGGATCACCATAGCCAAGCAGATCAAGGCTGCAGTGGCCGGGCGTGGCCACTGCACTCCAGTCTGGGTGACAGAGTGAGACTCCAACTCAAAAAAATAAATAAATAAATAAAAAATAAAACAGATTGCTGAGTGAGAGTACTTTGGTAAATTGTAAATGTCAGTGGTGATGGACTGTGCATGTCCAGGGAGAGGAGCACAGACAGTGTCCCCTGGGGGTATTAGACCACACAGCAAAAACCTGCCATCTCTGTTTAGAGAGATAGGGCTCCTGAAAGTGACTTTTCATGAGGACAATATTCTCTCCAGCTGGTCTCTTCATATCTTCATGTACAGGCTTCGATCAATAAAGCCAGAAGAGTCCAGAATGACAGAGGATCTTGGGGTTAGTCCGAGCTGGGAAGAGGTGGTGTGTAGCAGCTGGAAGCAGCCAGGGGAGGGGCGTTCAGGCACAGGCTGCTTGAATTTACGACCCAGTTTACCACTTGCTATACAACCATGGGAGTTGTTTAAGCTCTTCCTCAGTGTCACTTTGTAGGATTGTTGAGAGGATCCACAGAGGTTAGGCAGGGACAGGAATCCGAGCCTGGCTCAGAGTGTCCATCCAGCACCAATTTGTTGTCAGTATCCCTGGAGTATTTGCAGTCCATTGACTGTGCTTTTGGGATGATGATGCCTTCAGTTTCTGGATTGGAGGGGTACCTGTGTAAGTTACCGTTTGGGGAATGTCCCAATTACCCACTAAATATTTTTCTTCTCTACTTTTTTTCCTCCTTGAATAAGCTTATGGAAATGAATGACATCATGACTCCTATGTACTTCCGCTGTCAGCTAAATACTTTGCTAACACAGACTTTTCTTTATTGGTTTGAGAGGAACTAATAGAGTAATAGAAGAGTGACCCAGATCCCATTCTGCCTCTCTTGTCAGCAATAATGTCTTCATTATGGATTATGTGCTAATTGGGCGATATTGTGGATTGAATACTTTATAAGGAGAACACATGGATTTGGATGGTTCTCGCTGGTTTTACTATCAGTTCACTTTAATGGCAGCCTTTGAAGAGTCAGTTTGGGTTGCTGTTACTTGTCAAGTGAATGGAGGTTTTGGGATGAACCAGTAACCCTCATGGACATAGTGTTGGCATGTTTTTTTTGGGAAGAAAGATGTGTACTTTTTTCTTTTTATAACACTGACACATGTTTCTTAGTTGAGAATTAGAATATAAAGAAGTGTGATGAGGAAGGCAAGTCCTGTTACCCAGAGATGGTATCTTTTTTCTGGTGTGTAATATGTATATTATTGGAAATTGGATTGTAAAGATTCTTCCTGCTGCTTCTCCTAGAATTCATAAGCATTAATCACTTCTCAGGAAAGAATAATTTATTTATTAACCACAAGTAGCATTGGTTGAGACTAATGGATTAGACATAGAATTCATTCATTTTAGGTGGAGATTTATTGTCATAACGTTGTAAGTAGAAAAATACTTGAAAATTTGTAGTTCGGTTTTCTGTTTTTTTGGGGTTTTTTTGAGTTGGAGTCTCACTCTGTCACCCAGACTGGAGTGCAGTGGCTGCTCCCGGCCACCGCAGCCTCGACCTGCTGGGCTCCGGCGATCTTTCTGCCTCAGCCCTCCAAGTAGCTGGAACTACAGGTGAGCACTACCACGCCCGGCTAATTTTTTGATTTATTGTAGAGATGAGGGTCTCAAACTCGCCAGCTCAGGCAGTCCATTCGCCTCAGCCTCCCAAAGGCACGGGATTACAGGCTGAGCCACCGAGCCCGGCCAGGATCATGTTTTATCCCTATCCCAGGTACAGTGGTAGGTGTTATCATAACTCAACTTCAGATTTTTAAAACTGGACGTCAAGCATAAATCTAGTCAAATATCAAGATAATATAAAACAACATAGAGTGAAAAGAGTTTCCTCCTACTCCATATTCCTTGTCTTTCTTTTCTTTTTTTTTGAGTTGGAGTCAACGCTATCGTCCAGGCTGAAGTGCAGTAGCGCGCTCACAACCACTGCAGCCTCGACCTCCTGGGCTCTGGTGATCCTTCCGACCTGGCTAATTTTTTTGATTTATTGTAGAGATGAGGTCTTGCCAAGTAGTCCAGGGTGGTCTCGAACCGGTGGGCTCAGGCAGTCCTCTCATCTCAGCCTCCCAAAGTGCTGGGATTATAGGTGTGAGCCACTGCTCCCAGCCTTTTGTCTCCTTTCTTAGAACAATCACCATTAACAGTTAAATGCATAACCTTCTAGAATTTTTTTTTTTTTGAGTTGGAGTCTTACTCTATTGCCCAGACTGGAGTGCAGTGGCCGCTCCCGACCACCGCAACCTCCACCTGGGCTCCGGCGATCCTTCCACCTTAGCCTTCCAAGTAGCTGGCACTACAGGTGCGCGCTATCACGCCCGGCCGATTTTTTGATTTATTGTAGAGATGAGGTCTCGCCAAGTTGCCCAGGTGGGTCTCGAACCCGCGGGCTCAGGCAATCCACTCACCTCAGCCTCCCAAGGCGTGGGATTACAGGCTGAGCCACCGAGCCTGGTTGAATTTTTTTTTTGAGTCAGTCTCACTCCGTTGCCCAGGCTGGATTGCAGTGGCATATTTTTGTTTTGTTTTGTTTTGTTTTGAGTTGAAGTCTCACTCTGTCACCCAGACTGGAGTGCAGTGGCACACTCCTGGCCACCGCAGCCTATACCTGCTGGGCTCAGACAATTCTTCTACCTCAGCCTTCCAAGGAGCTAGAACTACAGGCATGCGCTACCATGCCCAGCTAATATTTGATTTATTGTAGAGATGAGGTCTCACCAAGTTGCCCAGGTGGGTCTTGAACCCATGGGCTCAGGCAATCCACTTGCCTTGGCCTCCCAAAGTGCTGGGATTACAGGCTGAGCCACCGATCCAGGCCTACAGTGGCATATTCACTGCCACTGCAGCCTCCACCTGCTGGGCTCAGGCAGTCCTCTTGCCTCCGACTCTCAAGTGATGGGATTACAGGTCTGAACCACTGTGCCTAGCCTTTTCTAGATTTTTTTTTTTTTTTGAGTTGGAGTCTCACTCTGTCGCCCAGGCTGGAGTGCAGTGGCATACTCACGGCCACCCCAGCATTGACCTGGGCTCCTGTGGTCCTTCTGTCTCAGCCTTCCAAGTAGCTGGAACTATAGGTGTATGCTACCATGGCTGGCTAATTTTTGATTTATTGTAGAGACAAGATCTTGCCAAGTTGCCCGGTCTGTCTTGAACCTGTGGGCTCAGGCAGTCCACTCGTCTCGGCCTCCCAAAGTGCTGGGATTACAGTTTGAGCCACTGAGCCTGGCCAATAGAATTTTTTTTTTTTTTAGTTGGGGTCTCACTCTGTTGCCCAGGGTGGAGTGCAGTGCCACACTCACAGCCACCGCAACCTCCATCTGCTGGGCTCAGATGATCCTTTCACCTCAGCCTTCCAAGTAGCTGGAAGTACGGGCTCACGCCACCATGCCTGGCTAATTTTTTGATTTATTGTAGAATGAGGTCTCACCAAGTTGCTCATTGGTGTCGAACCTGTGGGCTCAGGCAATCCTCCCTCCTCAGCCTCCCAAAGTGCTGGGATTATAGGCGTGAGCCACCGTGCCCGGCCCAATAGTACTTTTAATGTATACTTATGAATATATATGTATTCTTTTTATTATTTATTTATTTATTTATTTTTGAGTTGGAGTCTTACTCTGTCACCTAGACTGGAGTGCAGTGGCTGCTGCCGGCCACCGCAGCCTCGACCTGCTGCGCTCCGGGGATCCTTCCGCCTCAGCCTTCCGAGTAGCTGGAATTACAGGCGTGCGCTACCACGCCCGGCTGATTTTTTGATTTTTTGTAGAGATGAGGTCTCGCTGCCCAGGCGGGTCTCAAACCCACGGGCTCAGGCAATCCACTCACCTCAGCCTCCCAAAGGCGTGGGATTACAGGCTGAGCCACCGAGCCCAGCTTATTTTTTATTTTTTTGGTTGGAGTCTCACTCTTGTTGCCCAGGCTGGAGTGCAGAGGCACACTCATGGCCACTGCAGTCTTGACCTGCTGGGTTTAGGCAATCCTTCTGCCTCAGCCTTCCAAGTAGCTAGAACTACAGATGCACACCACCATGC